TGAGCGGGGCCGCTGCACCCATGGGTGCCGGTGCAGGGCCCTGCCAGCGGGTGATGGTGTCCTGCCTGCACCCGTGTGCCTGGGGATGCGGACGGAGCCTGCCCGGCTGGGTGGACCCAGAACCTGAAACTGGAGCCTGGGGTTCGGATCCCAACCCTAGACCTTGACCTTGGACCCCTGACCCCAGACCCTGGCTGCTGACCCAGGTTTTAATCCGAGCCCTGGATCTCAAACTCTGAGCTTGGATCCTGACCTTGACACCACACCTTGACTTTAGACCCCAGACCCCGACCCTGGACCTTGACCCTGGATCCCAGACTTTGACCCCAGATCCTGACCCTGGACCTCAGACTCTGTCCCTGGACCCTGACCCAGATCTTAATCCCAGTCCTGGATGCTGGACCCCAACCCTGATCCTAGACCTTGATCCTAGACTTTGACCCTAGAACCCAGACCTTGACCCTGGACCCCAGACCCTGAACACTGACTCAGATTTTAATCTCAGCCCTAGACCCTGGACCCAGATGCCCTGATCCCTGACCCTTACACCAGACCCTGATCCTGGACCTGTGACCCTCACCCTGGCCTCTGGCCCCAGACCCTGACACCAGACTCCAGTCCCACCAGACCAGAGCAGCCCGGCTGAGGCTGACCACCACCCATGAAGTCACGCTGGTGACAGAGCCCATCGGTCTCAGTCCCATTCTGCATCCCAGTGAGGTCAAGAGCATGGAGCCACCCTGTCCCCATCCCTATCCCGCTGCCCTCACCCGCCTCCTTGATGAGCTTCCGAGCCTTCCTCTCGCTGAAGGAGGACATCTCGCAGGGCCGGGGGTGGCGCAGGGCATGGGCCAGGCCGGGGAAGGGGACAGCTTGGCAGTACACCACCACAGCCGACAGTTCTGGGGCCACCTGTGATGCGTCCTTGGCCTGCAAGAGCCACCGTGGTGTCAGGGCCACCCTGGCTCTGGTGGCCACCCACCTGCCTGAGGATCTGCAGACCCCCCCTACCCTGCTAGTGCTGAGCACTTGAGATCCCAAAGGCCATGGAGACGCCCAAAGCGATGGAGAACCTGAGGCAATGGAGTGATGGACCCTGAGAGATGGAGAACTTAAGCAGGTTGAGACCCTGAGGTCATGGAGAACCCACGGTGTTGGACAACCCAAGATGTGAGACCCCAAGGTGATGGAGACCCTGAGGTGATGGACAACCCAAGATGATGGAGAACTTGAAATGACAGAGATCTCAAGGTGATGGAGACCCTGAGGTGATGGAGGACTGAGGCAATGGAGAACACCCTCCAAGGCAATGGAGACCCCAAGAGGTCACCCTGGAGGTGGTGGAGACCCCAAAGAGATGAAAACCCAAGGTCACAGAGTTCCCAAGGCAATAGAGACCCTGAGGTGATGGAGACCCCAGAAATGGAGCACCCAGCCCAACGGGGGAAAAGGAAGGCACAGCCGAGGAGTGCCCAGGCTCAGTCCCCTCTGCCAGGCAGTGACACCCGCTCGCCACCCTCACAGTACCTGACCCATCAGCCCATCCAGCTCCACCACACGACCTACCTGCAGAGGTTTGATCTCCTGCAGTGACTGCAGCGACTGGAAGAGGAGAGAGCAGGGCTGCATCAGGGTCTGGGGTCTGCTGTCAGCGCTCACCTGCCCTGGACCCCAGCAATTCTGGGACACAGTGGTCCCGTGGCGCTGCCGGGATGCCGTGGTCCTCCAGGACCACCAGGACACCATGGTCCTCTGGCACCATAACCCTGGGAGAGCCCCTTACCTGCCTGCTGCTTCTCTCCTGCAGCTTCTCCTCCTCTTCCTCTTCCTCCTCCTCCTCTTCCTCCTCGTCGGGGTCCATAAGGGAGGTGACACCCCGGGGCTCATGCCACGGCTCTGGCAGTTTCTTGCCCTTCACCAGGACCTTCCCCTTCAGCTGCTGCAGGAGGAAGGTCTGAGCTCAGGGCTTGAGGGGACATGGAGACACCGTGGTGGATGTGCAGGTGGCCTTACCTCCGGGGATGGGAGGTCGTGGGGGTCCTGCCCCTCCAGCGGCTGCGTCAGCAGCATGTCCCCCAGGATGTTCTTCATGTGCCGGGCCATGGTGGCCTGCTGCTCCAGCCCACAGTGGTTCTCCAGGGACAGGATGACGGGGTAGGGGGATTGCTGGGGACAGGCAGCACTCAGCACCTGGTGCCCAGCACCCAGCGCCCATCCCAGGGCTGCTGGTGCCCGGCTCACCTTGAAGGCGTAGTCACGGATGCTCTCAATGACATCACGGAAGAGGATTTTGGAGGTGAGCGTGTGGCCATGGTAAACGATGGGTTCCCCGTCAGAGCCCTCCCAGCAGTCCAGCTCCACACAACGGCATCCCGCCATCAGCGCCCTGCCACCGCACCATCACCAGATGAGTCCCTGCACCGCCCCGGCACCGTCAGAACCATGGGACCATCTGGGCATGGATCATGTGACCAGGGGCACCCACCTGACATAGGCTTCGGTGCTGCTGGTGCCACCAATCTGGTTACGGGTCAGGTAGGTGTTGTGGGAGGAGGAGATGAAGTAGTGGCACAGGGGTTGGCTCATGTCCTGGTGCACCTTGGTGTGCTCCTGGTTGAGGATGTCACCGGCGGCCGAGAGGAGGTACATCATGAAGCCATCCAACATCATCAGGTCCTGCTGCCTGGCTGTGGGACACAGCGGTGGGCTGTTGCAGAGGGCTGGCATGCTGCTGGCAGGGTGGCACCCCAGGAACTGTCTCCACCTGGATGTCCCCTGTCTCCCAGCAGTGTCATGTTTACCCCAGACCTGGCACTGCGGCACCCAGGGGACATGTAAGTTCCCTTGAGTGTCCCATCTCCATCCTGATGTCACTCATCCTGCTTGTGCCACATCTACCTTAGGGGTACTACTGTGATACCCAAGAGACATGGAGGTCCTTCATCCCCACCAGGATGTTCCCTGTCGTCCTAGTGCCGTGTTCACCCTGGGCTTGCTGTGGTGGGACCCAAGGGACATGGAGGTCATCCGGCAGTGTCACATTTATGCTAGGGCTGGCACAGCATCATCCAGGAGACATGGAGGTCCACCTGCTGTCCATCCCCACCTTCACATCCCCTGTCCTCACAGCGCAACGGGACCAGCAATGCCATGCGTTGGACTGCTGACACCCAGTGCCCCCCTCGGGAAGGGACACGGGGACACTCACCCAAGCCTTGGAGGACCTCATACCAGCTTGGGGGATGACACCACCAAGCAGAGGCCCATCCCCATGCCATCCATGACCTCCCTTGGCTCTGGCAGCACCCATCCCATCATCCCACCACCACCCATGAAGTGAGCTGGCCATCCTCGGCCCTACCCTTCTCGTTGAGCTCATAGGTGTGGATGATGGTGTGGGCCTGGCGCAGGCTGGCATCCTCGCCCTGATCATGTAGAAAATCCCGCAGCTCCTCGGCCGACAGGACACGGTCCTCACCCGAGTAACGCCCAAAAAGCTCCTCCAGCTCCGGCCGCTGCAGCAGCCGTCGGCAAAACTCCTCCAGCAGCCGTCGGCAAACCTCCTCCAGCTCCCGGCCCTCCAGCCGCTCATCGCCCGAGCGGTCGCACTCCTGGTGGGACCACAGCCCAACCTCGGGGACTGGCCCTTGCCCGTGCAGGAGGGGCATGGCCACCCCCTGCCTCATCCTGCCTGTCCCTTGGGGCTGGCAGCATGTGTGATTGAGTTTGGGGGGGCTCAGCTACTGGCATGAGGGCTTGGGGATGGATTGTACCTTGGGGAGCATGGGGCATGTCCCCTCTGACCCCCCAGTCTGGGATGGAGCAGAGGAGAGCGCCGTGCCTCAGTTTCACCAGGTGGAAAGGGACCTCAGGAGATGCCCATGGGGACAGCACCCCACAGGGGGAATGTCACACCTTGGGAACCCACAGAGCACTGGGGGGGACAGCTCAACCCACCCCATCGTGAGCAGGAGCAAGACCCCCAACCATTGGTGGCAGTGGGTGGCTTTGGGTGTAATGAGTTTGACAGTTCTCTGCATGTGGGAAGGCAAGGAAGGAGTCAGCATTCCCTCCTGGTGACAACAGTGGGGCACAATGGGTGACAGCGTGCAGGACAGGTACCTTGAAGAGCTTGTAGGCGTAGACATCATCCATGTCGATGTTGATCATCCTCAGCATGCTCTTCACCTCCCGGAAGGACATCTTGTTGTCCTTGTTCCTGTCCGCTCGCTGCAGGACTCCGTGGATCCAGCTACTCCAGGGTAAGGAAACCAACCTGGCGTCACCCCTACAGTCATCCCCAACCTGTCCCCATGCCACCATATCTCTGACAAAGGATATTGGTCGAGCTTCTCCGGTTGACTCATGGCTTGCAGCCGCCCCATCAACTTGGTGAGCCCTCGCACCCAGTGGCGGGCATCCTCCTCGCCCCGGGCCGCCAGGTCAAGGTTCTTGCGCTTGCCCTTGAAGACGAGGGTGAAGCAGTGCCGCTCGGGGAAGGCGGCACCATACTTGCGTAGACCCTCTGACTGGTGGCCCTCGCGTACCCCCTCGATGTGCATCACCGAGACTGCGGGGACACGCATGGTGATGGGGCCACCCTGGGGAAGGTCCCTCGGCATTTCCCCCACCCATGAGCATCCTGCAAGACATTGTGGCGGCTGATGGCCACCCAGGCCACCCTACGTGTCCCCTTTGTGCCCCAGGGGACCGGGGCTCGGGTGCTGTTGATGCTGCAGCCGGGCTTAACTCACTAATCCCAGGCGAGACAGAGGCCGGGGCTGCCGGGGCT